ACCAAGATCATGTTTTCTGACTACTGATCCTTCTTCCCTTTTCCCAACTTTTGCATTCCAGTCACCCCATTATTATTAATGCATCTGTTTTTTCTTTCCTCCCAAGAAATGAACAGGTCTGAGAGGAATTCCAAGTGACCCACGTGTGGAGAAGGCAAAAATGGCATGAGGGCAGTCAAGAATGGTTTCTTTTATAGGGGTTTTAGGGAGGACTAGGGAAGATGGTATTTTGCTCAGCATTTGCTGCTGTTAATTAACTTGGGTATGGGCTTTTTATAATTAGGACTTTTCAGGATCCATTGTCTGTTCTGGTATCTGATCTAGTCGCCTTGGACATTTATTAAGTTTCTTCAGGGAGTGATCAGGCTGGGGGCAGCTGGGTCATTCTAACTGTATTCCAGGCTTTAAAGGAATTATTAGTGTGGAGTCATCTCTAGCTACTTCCTGATAAACTGGGGTGGTGCTGGGGTGTTGGTTTCCTGTACGGCCTGAAAGAGGAGCATCGTGTTCTTGTGTTCTTGGGAAGTTGCTTGGGAGATGGTGGTGAGTCGGTCTACTAAAAATCTTGCTATCTCCCAAGCAACTGCACAAGAACATGTGAACACGACGCTCCTCCTTCAGACCTTACAGGAAACCAACAGCAATCTACTGATGCAACTTGATTGCATGTTCCATCGATTTTTGACTGCAAAAGTTGGTAGAAATGATACTTACCCAGCAGGGGAGATACCATGATCACGAAGGTGGTTTTCCTCGTGCTTATCCATTGCACTCTGAATATGTTGACCTCTGTGATTTCCCCAAATGTGGGGAATTTGCGTAATTTGTGGTAGTTGTGAACTGCATTCATGCTATCCCCTTTTATTTAAAAAAAAAGTTGGTAGAAATAATCTATTTCCTCCTCTTTTGGTTTTTGGTATTCACTGGTCTTCCTTATCTGTACATGGATATTATCCAGTCACTCATACCATTTTATTTCAAGATGAATCTAGAAATGACTTTTTTGATTATGAAGGCAACCCCACTTTTCCTTACCTTTTCATTTCTGGCATAGTAGATCATTTGATTGATTCACAATGTCCCATGCCAGTCTAGCTCATTTTGCCAGTACCTAAGTATGTCAATATTTATGTTCCATTTATTTTTTAACAATGTCCAATTTTCCTACATTCATCCTTCTCACATTCCACGTTATAGTCACTAGTGTCTGCTGACAACTTTTCCTCCTCCTTTGTGTTTCCGTATTTGAGGGCTCAGCCTCAGTTGCCATATCTGCTAGTGTACTCTAAGGGTGGTCTGTTGTACTTAGGGTTTTTGAAGACCTGTTACTTCAGAAGTGGATGGCCAGTCCTTCTTCCTAGTCTCTCTTAATTTGAATGCTCAGCTTTAGAACAATATCTGACAAGCAAGCATTTTACAGAAAGGAGCAGGTCAGATAAAAACCATTTCCCCGTTATAGGAATAGCCTGTAGATTCACTGCCACCCCTCCCTGCCCTTGGCACGTGTGTGTTGACCCATTCCTTGCCCCGCCCCACCAGCATCCCCTCCACTCCTGCCTCCCACATTCAACATCTCCCTCCCCCTATCTAGCCCTTGATATGATGGCTTAGGTCTCAATTCACTTCTGTGATGCCTGATGCCTTGCGCTGCTGCTGGTCTGCCGGTCTCTCACACTGCTGCTGGTCTCTCTTGAGTTAAGGAGTCTGTAAGTCCAAACTTCAGGTATTAGTTTTAGAGAAGGTTTTATGACTCAGTTGTGAGAAAAAACCCCTTTGCCTCTGAGCAGAATTCTGCTCCAGGACTGACTTCTTGTGACTTAGTGCCTCTTCCCTTCCTTTTGAAGCACTCTGCTGTCACAGTAGGATGATTTCCCAGGAGAGGGTGATGTGTCCTCTAGATCTTGAATGCAAGTGTTGTTTTCTTGGCCCGAGGGCCTGAAGCTGGTTATATATATAGGTCTTCTCTTTTTTTTTTAATTTTTTATTATTTTGTGTGTGTGTGTGTGTGTGTGTGTACCATCAAATTGGATCTGACTGGTACAGGAGGAGATTGCCTTTTCTCCTCCAGTAGAGCATCTGGTGGATTTGAACTGTGTGTCTCTGGGATTACAGCTTCTTGCCACTAGGCCACCAGAGCTCCTTACATAGGGCTTCTCTTACTGGCATCCCCTGAATGTTGGCTGAGCCTAGTGGAATTCTGGGATGATGACCATTTATTTTCCTAAAACTTTTTTCCTCCTCAGTCACTCCGCAGAGGCCCAGTGTCATGGGTACTGCATAAAAATCTATTGTATGAAGATTTGTTCTTCAGTTTCCAGTAACAACAACAACAACAACAACAACGTTGCTGTTTGGAATAGCGTCTACTTTCTTGACAGAATAGTTTGACTTGAGGCAAGGGTGAATTATAAACAGGTTCTTAATTATCTTTTCCCTCACCTTCAGTGTAAATAGGTGTCTGTAGGGAGTTAAACTGTTAAACTGTTAACCCAAAAGCCTTGCTGCTTCTCTTCTGGTTCAAATCCATCAGTTGCTCTGTAGGAGAAAGATGGGTAATCTCCTGTGTCATTTACTGTCTTGGAGAGTCAGCTATGAGTTGGTTCTAAGTTAATGGCAATGAATTTTGAATTTAAAAAATTAAAATAAAAAGCCAATGTGTTGGTTGTCTTCCTGTAGCCTCCAGCTCCTTACAAGCTCATATGTGTTAGAGTAGAACTATACTCCACACAGTTTTCAATGACTGAGTTTTCTGAAATAGATCACCATGCCTGTCCTCGGAGGTGCCTCTGGGTGGATTTGAACTGCTGGCTTTTGAGATGGCAATTGGATGTGTTAACCAACCAGAGATTTCTTTAAGTTAGATGTGCTCTGTCTTGTTTCAGACCCTCACTTGGTTGCCTGAGGCAGCAGAATATCAAAAGAGAGTAGCCAATGAATTTTTAATTTAAATGTCAGCCCTGAAACCTTGAGTGAAAGAGGCTGGGTTTAGGCTGGTGCCCATTACCAGGCAGTACTCCCTCCCTGCAGCCCTTCTGCCTGGAGGTGCACGCTTGACTCCTATTAACTGGAGCAGGAATTATGTATGTGCCCACAGGGGGAGTGTAACTTTTAATGGGGTTTCCTCACTCTACTTTTATTTGCTGTTTAATTTTAATGACTCTTCCTCTGTAGACGTGCAAGAATGAACTAGAACATGCCCAGGAAAGGGGAGAGGGGGCCACCCCATGCTGTGCTGGGTTTTCTTTCCAGAGGGTGCACCTGCTTTTTCCTTGTGTGTCTTTTAAGTGCTGGGTTTTCATTCCAGGAGAGGACACCAGCTTTTCCTTATGTGTGTTTTAGTTGTCAGTGGAAAGTAATTTTGGAAGCATATTTTCTAAATATGAAGTACTAACCTTTCTTTGGTAAAAATAGACTCATCTCCCATGTTTTGAAGTGGTACCCACACTAGATGGGAGCCCTGGTGGTTCATTGTATCAGGTGTTGGGTTACTTGCCAAAAGGTTGTAGGTTCGAATCCATCAAGATTTATAACCTATGGGGAAGCTCTGTAAGGTCTGTCAGCTGGAAATGACTGGACACTAGTGAATTTGGTTGTACTAGACCCTTTGCTCCTTGGAGGCAAAGGTGATTAAACTTCATCTCAAATACTTAGGGCATCTTGCCAGGAGAGGTTATTCCTTGTAGAAGGACATTATGCTTGGAAAGAGACAGCAAAAGAGAGGAGGACCCTCAAGCAGGTGAGTTGACACAGTGCAGCAATGGCCTCCAGTGTGTCAGTGATTGTGAGAATGACACAGAATAGGACAGGGTTCAGTTCTTTTATTCATAGGATCGCTATGAGTCGTACTTGACTCGATGGCACCTAACAACAACAACAACAGACCCTTTTAGAAGGTGCTAGGAATAAAAAGCCTAACATATAACATTTAACAGAGACTCCTAGAACATTTAATGTTTTCCATACATTGTTCTAGATGGTGTCAGTTATTTCTTTCTAACTACAAAAGCACCAGGCAAGGGAGTGACTTAGGACAGCAGCTGTTTTATTTGCTCCTGGTTTTTTGGGTGAGCTGTCTGTGAACAGCTCCAAGGCCCCTTGCGGCCAAGGCTTGCAGGGTCATATACTGTCTCGTCTAGTGCATGGCCTTGGTCAGAGTAAGTTCCAAGTTCAGTCCTGATTCAGAAGGTGGAGAACTAGTTCCATCTCTTTCTGAGCAGGACTGCAGGGGATTTGTGGCTATTTTTAAATGTATCACGGTCTTTCTGTGTATATTGGCTCATGTAATCTTGATAACAACTCCATGAGGGCTGCCTTTGATTGTTATCCCCACTAAGATGAGGAAAATGAGGCCCAGAGAGAGGTAGCGTGCTCATCCTCATACAGATGGGGAAATTATAGTCCACTAAATGCACTAGAGTAATGAGATCTAATTCCTAGGTCTTACGGTCTCTGGTAAGCTGGATTCTGACTCAGTGACCCAGCAGGACAGAGTAGAACTGCCAGTGGGGTTTTCCAAGACGGAATCTTTGGAGAAGTGGATTACTTCCTCTTTCTACCCAGGTGGCTTTTACTGTGAATACTTTTGATTAGCACTTCCACACACTTAGCCAGTGTGTTATCAGGGGGCCGACAGTCACTCTTTGCTGCTGGATGCCATCGTGTTAGCTCTGGCGCAGAGTGACCTGGACAGCAGAGGGGAGCCCTGGACGGTCCTGTACCGTCCTCACTGTTCTGCTCGGGCCTGGTGGTGGTGGTCATTGTCTCAGTCTCCCTCTCTGCAGGCCTTCCTCTGTCACTGACCTTCCCTTTCTCCCAAGCCTGGTGTCTTTTCTCAAGGACTGGCCCCACAGGATGTGAGGCGGAGTCTCACCATGCTTGTTGCTGAGGAGCGCTCTGGCTAGAATTCTTTCAAGACCGATTTGTCTCTACCAAGTGTTACAAATGAAACAGAACTGGCTCACCACTCTGTTCATTTGCTGGTGTTACAATCTGCTTTTCAGGTGTCCAGTGGAACCCCAGAATAGAAGCAAGATGAATATTCCGTTCCGCATTGGCAGCACCAAAGGGGATGATGCTCTGGAGAAAAGGTTTCTCGATAAAGCTCTGGAGCAAAACATGATGTCCTTGAAAGGGCACAGGTGAGTGCACGCGTGTCTGCGTGCGTCCACGCACGCCTCCCCCTACTGCTTCAGTTTTCACATGCAGAGTCAGGTGGGTCCTGCAGCCTGCCCACCATGGCAGTATTTATGCACCTTGTCACAGAGCTAGTCCCCGGCTGTTTCTAGTACCCTTTGCACTTCCTGGCTGAGAGTATGAGGAAGGTATAGCCTCTTCCCTGGGTGCCATTTTTCATAATTTTCACCCTGGAGCACTTCAGGTCTGCATTTATTTACATACTTGGGCTCCATAGAAGTTTTTGGTTGAGAAGAGAGACGCTCTGTTGAGAACACTTGGAAACCTCTGATCTGAAACCCGTGTGAGGCTGCCCACACAGGGTGGGCACTGAGGGCTGGGACCTGTGTCCCAGGACACTGCAGGGCATTTTTCTGGGCACCAAGACGTTTGTCCCTAGGCCTGGCTGCTGAGAATAGGGCCGCCTGAACCTCTCTGGGTCATGTTCAATTTTGTCCTCACTGTGTAGATTGGATCAAATCATTCCATCATGGTCAATATGTTCTTTATAGATGTAGCAATTTCTCACTGAAAGCGGTCCTTCTAAGGGAGTATAATAGATTTCATGGTTCCCCAGTGAAGAGGGAAGGTGCTAACTAGCAGTGTGCTCAGAGTCCATCATTACAGTAAACACTTCCCTTTGAGGAATAAAGAGGCAGCATTATAGCCTTAAAATTTTTCTCTTAGTACCAATAAGAGCATTTTCACACATTTTCTAAGAATAATGTTTCCTCAGTGATTCCTTCTATATCCCTTGAGTCACTGACATCTAATAGTGAATTGTGTCAGGTACAGTAGTTAATCTTGCATGTTTTATGAAAAGCATATCCTCGCCCTTGAGGATGGCCCCAGGCAGCAGTGAGCGGCCCGCCTGCAGGGTCCTAGCTCCCTTCCTGCTCCATCTCACCTACAGGGTTCCCACCTGATGCATCTCATCTACAGGGTCCTGGCTCCCTGCCCCATCTCACCTGCAGGGTCCCAACTCTTTACCCCATCTTAGCTGCAGGATCCCTGCTCTCTCCCTGTTCCACCTCACCTACAGGGTCCCTACTCACAGAGTCCTAGCTCCCTGCCCCATCTCACCTGCCGGGCCCTGCTCCCTGCTCCCTACCCCGTTACACCTGCAGGCTCCCCACCGACAGGGTCCCAGTTCCCAGCTCTGTCTTGCCTGCACCAGGTGGTAGCGATTGCTGAGTGGCCTGGTGAGAAGAATCACTCACTTCACTTAAGAGTTTTCACCATTTTTTTTTTCTTTCCCAAGAACAGAGTGTGAAATTCCTGTGTGTTAGGTGTGAGCTTGGTGGGCCTTCACATCTGAAGTTCCTGCCTTCCTGCAGGGGCTTCTGGGTGGAAGACTGGGCAGATGGTTTCAGTTGCAGTGACTCCAGGGACGGGTGCTGGACAGAGCGCTGCCTTGACGCGGAGTTGGACACCTTTATCCTAATGGTGGCTCTCTGCATGTCTCAGGTCCGTAGGAGGCATCCGCGCTTCTCTGTACAATGCTGTCACTGTGGAAGACGTTCAGAAGTTGGCAGCCTTCATGAAAAACTTTTTGGAGATGCATCAGCTATGAGCACAGCCTGACTGATGGGTAATCTGTTATTGAACAATGTATGCAGTTTAAGGTGTCGAGGGAATGGTTACCAAATAATGTAATATTTGTCTCAAGTGAGCATGCTTAATATAGATTCTTCTTTTTTCAGAGAACACCAGCAAAATATCAAGAGCTCTGTGGAGCTGGTGGACTTAACAGCCACTCTAATTTAACTGGAAGCACTTAAAAAAAACCTTCCTTTTACTTTTCTAACTAACTAAAACATATTTTGTCTCTGCTGCTAACTTTTCTAGCTAGTTCTCAGGATTCAGATTTGCCTGTGGACTGAGTTCTGCAAATGCAGTAACGGTTTCTAGAGACACACAAATGTTCAGGATCCCCACCATGATGGGGACCCCCAGCCCTGCTGAGTCTAGATCTTTTCCAGAATGTCAGCAGTGTGTTCTCCTGGGCTCAACAGTCAGCATTTGGGATTTTTAGGCCAAAGGCAAACTGTAGACCTTTCTTTATACTGTTAATCTCAGACAGAGATAAAAGAGGCATACTGTATTTTATATAGCAAGGTCTGTTTTTAATACCATATAGTTTATATCTCTGCATTTGTATTTCTAGAATGTGATTATCAGCAATATATAGACTTTAGAATTTGTTAGAGTCTTTGGCTAGTGTGTTCCAGCATAGCTGTGTCCCTTTCATATATACTGATTTAGAGAGATGAGATTTGCAAGTTCTGTACTCGTAGGCTTTTCATGAGCTGGAAGATAAGATTGTTGAGTTGGTTTGTTTACTTTTTTCATAATGCCCTCAGACTAAAGACATTCTTCAAACTAAACTCCTTCATAATTTTTCCACTTGACTGTTCTTTTTATTGTGTTTGATCAGAGTGACAGTGAGTTCTAGAAGAGTCTTTGCTCAAGAGCCTCTCCCACTCTTGTTTGTCCACTGTCAGTATTTCATGTTGAACATGTGAGGAGCATTAAAGTACTAAAACAACTACACCTTGTCAGTGAGCTTTTCTACCCACTTTGCAGACAAACTTTATGGTTCTTATTTTAAACTTTATGATGGGGGAGGAATCTCCAAACCACCTGAGTCTGATGATAGTACCTGGTAATGGTAATTTAGTTTCATGCAAATTATAAAATGTAAGTCCTATGCATTCATTTAAAAATTATTTAACATGATAAGTTTCCTTTCTGGGGGAGGGGGTTGGGTTTTGTTTTTGGTTTGTTTTTTTTTTAAGGTGAAAATAAAGACACTTTTATTAGGAAAGACATGCCCGAGAGAGGGTGTTTGTGTGTGTGTGTGATTCTCTGTAATTAAAAAGGGGAGAAAGACCTTGATTTGCTTTTAGAATATCAGCAAAATACCTCGACCAGCGCTCACAGAATAAACTCTTTCCCACATACACCAGGGACATGCCACGTAACAATTTCAAGCTATCTTCATGTTTTGTTTGACTATGCTTTTTGGTGCTTTTCGGTGGATTGCCCTGGTCAGACCTTAGCCTCCCAGTCCTGTTCTCTTGTCTATCAAGTGAGGATTGAAATAATATCCCACTAGAATCAAGAACATTTAATAATTTAAGTGCTAGGAAGCGCTGGTGGCTGAGTGGCAAGAAGTTGTGCTGCAATCCCAAAGGCACGTGGTTAGAATCCATCATATGCTCTGCAGGAGAAAGGCAAACTCCTGTGCCAGTTGGATCTGATTTAAGGGTACACAACAAGGGGGCAGGGAAAGCATTTTTAAGTGCTGATCTGAGCAGCAAAGTCAGCAGGTCCATTCCAAGTAGCAAAAGCAATCCAGCTACATGTCCTGTGTCTTTTGGCAGTTCTGAGCTTCCTGCCTCTCCCAGTGTTCACATGATGGCTGCAGATCCCTGTCCTCACACTCGTGTTTCTTGAATTTTCACTCACTTCCCTCTGTTCTCACAGACCATTCTGCTCTGTCAGCTCTCAGTAGTGTCCAGGCTGGTTCACATGTCAGCAGCCTCATCTGCTGCCCTCTCGTCACCACTGTCAGCGGCCGGTTATTCCCCTTCTGCCTCTCACTGATACAGATGTAAGGCCGGCTTCCGAACCAGATCATAGCATCCAGCTGGGTTTGGTTTCTCTTCTTTCCTCCCACTATTATAGGCGTTTATGATACTGGCATACCCCATTGTAACAAAACTATACTACATTATAACACAAAGACAGAAACGGTATTGTTTTCAAGTGAAAGTTCCTATCTCCATTCCAGAAGGCCAACTTGCCTTCAGGACCCCTGCCAACATCCTCCTAATCTCGATTTTGACTTTTCTGCTGGGACAAGGCACTTTTTGTTTTCTCTTAACACATTGGTAGGCTAGTGGCAATAAGCTGCCAAAGGCAAGTGGTTCGAGGCCACTGGCTGCTCTGCCAGAGAAAGATGGACAATCTCCTGTACAATTAACTGCCTCTGAAAACCCACCAGTGGGTCAGCTATGGGTTGGTTCTGACTCTGGTACACAATGACAATGTTGCTGTCTAGTCGGAACTGACTCATAGGGGACTCTCCAGCGAGTTTTCAGAGGCTGTAAATGCTGCAGGAGGATAGTGTTTATCTTTCTCCCAAGAAGCAACTTGTTAGATTAGAACTGCTTGCCTTTGGGTTGGCAGCACAACTCCTTTACCCCCGGGACCACCAGAGCTCTTGAGGATGCCCTTTTATCCCACCAGAACCAAAACCCAAACTTGGCATCAAGTTGCTTCCAGCTCACGGTGACCCATGTCGGTCGGCAGAACCACAGGGGGTTTTTAGTGGTTGGTCCTCTGGAAGCAGGTTGCCAGTCTGAGGTGACAATATATTTGAATGGCCAATCTTTTGATTAATGATGTTATGTCCTGTTGAGCTGGACCTCAGGGCTGACCCTCTACCAGGTTTTCAGAGGTAGTAAATGGCACAGGAGATTGACCATCTTTCTTTCAAGGAGCCCATGGTGTATTCGAACCACATGCCTTTGAGTTGTCAGTGCAACTCCTTACCACTGAACCACAAGAGCCCCCCTTTTGGCTAATAGCCCTATTTCCTCTGCCTCAGCCTTACTCTTTGTAGGAGCTCAGCTCTGTCTAATGATGGTAATTGTTAAACTGCTCTGCTTGGTCTTCCTGTATTCCAAGCTGAGCTGAAGGAAAGCCATTGGTACCCCCCTCACACAGTTTTTAAATGTTAAGCAATTAGGCTACAGTTTCTTTTCCCACTAAGCTGATAAAAACATGATTCTGTGTGCCTGAATGGGGAAACTCGAGACCTTGGAGGGTTCCCTGCATCAAGCTAGTGAAAGCTTTGGGGAGGTCATTAATGGCTACATATGGACAGGAGAGAATCACCTGGGCCGGCAGGGAGCCTCTGCAGCACAGATGGGTATCTCCGAGTCAGTGCTCGACCTTTGTATGTTTTCAGCAGATGGACTGATGTTCATCTGCTGACCACGTAGTAGACAGAGGTGGAAGGGGAGATAAGGATGTAGGCTCCCAGGTGGACAGTCTGCCGGAGCCAGAGAGACTGATCTGTCCTGAAAGATACAGAGCAAAGTAGATAAGTGTTGTCTGGGGCCTAGGGGAGCTTGTGCGAGGAGAGGCCTCTGGGGCAGCGTGAACTGCAGAACTAGACACTGCCCCCTGCTGGAGCGTCCTCTAGCTCGCTGCGTTTGCACCAAGGTGGTGGTCCCTGCATCAGCCACTTTTATAGGTTTATAAGAAAATGGAAAAGAGTCGTGTCTTTGTCAAGCACACTGCAGTCCTCAAAGTGTTCTCTTTGATTTTTTTAACACTTAAAAGAGATTTTTTTTTTTCAGTCTATTTGCCCTGTTCAATACTTTGATTTCTTACTGATATCTCTATGAGCATTGATTGTGAATCCAGGTAAAATAAAGCTCTGGATGACTCTGAACTTTTCTCCATTTGTCCTGATGTTGCTTATTGGTCCACTTGTGAGGAAGTCCATTTTCCTTATGTTCAGTTGTAATCAATAATGATGGCTGTAGGTTTTCATCTTCATCAGTTGATGCTTCAAGTCCTCTTTGCTTTTAGCAAGCAAGGCTGTGTCATCGACATATTGCTGGTTGTTATTTCTGCTGCTGCATTTTTCCATACAGTCCAGCTTCTCAGATTATTTGCTTGGCATATATGTTGAATAAGTACTGTTAAAGGATACAACTTGTACACTACACTTCTCCTCATTTTAAACTCCACAATATTTCCCTTGTTTGTTTGAATGATTAGTCTATATCCTTGTTCTTCATGAGAACAATTATGTGTAATTCTCATTCTTTACAATGTTACCTTGGTTTGTACAATTGAGTGCCTCTGCATAGGCAATGGAACACTGGTAAACATGTAAAAAAATGTATATGAATGGTTGGATGAAAGCCAATTTGCTTTGGTAACTTGCCAACAAACCACCATTAATGAAACAAAACCTGGGAAATATGTTTCGGGTGGTCTCTGCTTTCAGTCAGGACTCATCCGATATGAACAATGCCTGATATGAATAAGACAAGGTTGGTGAAACTGTGTCTCACGTACCTTGGGCACATTGTTAGGAGGGGCGAGCCATTGGAAAAAGACATTGTGTTGTAAGGTAGACGGTCAGCAAAAGAGGCGAAGACTCAAGTGTGGTGGAGAGCATGAGGGAGGTAGGGGACAGGACAGGATTCAGATCTGTTGTTCATAGGCTTGCTATGAGTCGTCGTTGACAACATCTAACAACAACAACCTCTTTTGAGCTGAAAAATCACTAAATCCATAAAAATGAACACTGAGAGATTATATATCATCTAATTCTGCTGAAGGCGTTACTAGGTCTAGTATCACTCCATGATTAATGTTTGTTATATTGTGTCTTTTGGAAGGAAAATAAAATGCAGAATTTTCTCACATTTGATTGGAATGAGTATAATTAAAAAAGTGAAATGCTACTGAGTTGGCTAAGACATCAATCCTTTTAATTGGAAAGAAGACTCCTTGCCTCTGTTGGTAATTGGGCTCTTGGTAATT